GGAATGTTACCTGGGACCACATTAGAAATGCAGAACAGGCTCTCAACTTCTGAGGCAGAATCTGCATTTTATCAATATTCCCATTATTCCCAATATGCACATTAAAGTTTGAGAACCACCAATGTAGACATGTGTTTTTTAACATTGACTCAAATTAGAAGCTTTTAGGGAACTTAAAAAAATACCTGTGGCCGGGCTGTGCTATGAACCACATAAATCGGCATTTCTGGAGATGAGACCTAGGCACTGGTATTTTAAAAAAGCAACCTGGATGATTCAAATAGGCAGCCAGGGTTGAGAAGCACTAATTTAGATCCATCCCTCATTTATGGGTGGGAAATGTGAAATCTCAAAAAATGGACACATGAAATGCCTTGCCCAAGGTCACTTAGCTAATGAATGGGAGAATCTGGCATCTCATGATTCCCAAGCCAGTGTCCCTTTGTTACAGTTACTTTTGGTTCCTGGGGGCAGAATTACGAAATGATCCCGTTCAGCTAGAGCTCATTACTGCCAGTTTTCCAGCTAAGCTGCTTAGCTTTCGGCACCGAACCCTAACGAGATTTACTGGATGAAGAGCTGTGAGCTGATGGGCCCCTCCTTCTGCCTATTCAAGCCAAAATCTATTTCATTCCCTTTGTTCATTATCAAAAAAGTACTAACTGTTTTTGCTATGAAGAAATGGAAGTTTCTCCACGTAGGTCTCAAAATCCTACTGCATAGGCACAGAGGCCGGAGGCATAGACTCCATGCAGCAAGATGAGCCTTTGGATTCAGCATTAATTGACGGCGACTGGATAGAGCATGATTGCTTTGTCACTTATGGCGCTTAGGCTGCATCAACAGAAGCACAGGTCTAGAATGCAGACCTGGTAGGCCTGTTTGACTTTTACTCACCACCATTTTACAAATGAAAAAACTGGGAGGTTTAAATGAGTGTCTCACATCCAGTGGTTGAGCCAAGATTGCTACACTTTATTTCAGGACCAGATAATATAATATTCTGATCCCGTGGTTTAGTTCTTGAGCAGTTCACGGTCAAAAGAACAGAGTAACCAAAATTGACGTGTTAAGGACTCGAGTTCTCTTGCAGTAGTTTGTGGAGACCAGGGAGGAGGCCTGCTTTCCGCAGCAATACTTGTGAAATTCCCTTCTATTCGTTCATGTATTATAGCTGCACTCTCTCCTCTTTTCAATTCTCTGCCATGAAAATAGCCTCATCCCTAAGCCTCGCCTGTGCCAAAATCGCCTTTTTTTTTTTTTGCTTTTCACTCCAATTTTATAGCTGCAAAGACAGAAACATTTTGGAGAGAAGTCCCATACAGGACTATATCTAGTGGGCAGACAGAGGATAGTGTGGGGACAATCATACATTTCAGGGTCATTACAGTCATGCCCTAGCCATCTCCCCAGCTCTGCCCCAGCACTTCCGTTATCCACTCACTGACCTTGAACCTTGCCGTAGTCAGATGTATAATGACCTTGTAGACTCAACGTATATTGAGCACCTTCAGTGTACCAAGCCATGGGACTTAGTCTGACCTGTGGGTGGAATCTGTTTTTATTTTAATGAAATAGGGACACCCTGATTGCTGCAGGATCGAGGCAGCATGTATGATAGTTTTTTGATAACAGTTGAAGACTGAATAATTATAAGGCAATGGTGATAACTAGAATTCTTCCACACCAGCAGCCCTGGAAAAAATTATCACTTGACAAAAACTTGCAGTTCTTGCTTATAACTGGCTTATACTCTCGTAAATGATCTTTCATTTGATCTCCTCCAGGTAAAGAAACCCCTTCCAAGGATCCAGCTGTATCGAGTGAGTTTATACCTTCATCCGAAGACAAGGAAAAATGTTTCCTGTCACAGAACATGACTCCAGGTATCTCAACTCCAAAGAGAAGCCCTCTTAAAAAAATTTTCTTTCGTGTAGAATATTACAGTAACTTACTTATCTCTTCCATTTGCAGGCTCCCTCCCCCTTATCCTTTCTAGGACTATTACCAAATGCATCTTTGTAGGCACGACCTTGACTGTGATAGTCATTTGCTCACAAATCTTCCAGTGGTCTCCACTGCCTACAAGATTAAGTTATAACTTCTCAGGATGACACTCAAAGCTCTTCATAAGCTGGCATATATTAAGAGCTCCATACATATTTGCTGTATTAAAGAAAATGTATCATCGATTAGATTTTAAGGTGCTGAGGGCAGGGGTAATTTTTTTGAATAATTATGTATTCTACATAGTACCTAAAAGAATTATTTGTACACAAGTTGTTCTCAGAAAATCGTGACTAAATACATGAATAGTTGAATAAATATGTAGAGGTCACATTTATATTCTATATAATACCTAATAGTACCTTGTACATAGTAGGTTCTCAATAAATATTTGTCAAATTAATGAATAAGTGAATAAAAGTTTGAGTACGTGAAGTGAGATTGGCTGAAGACATCTGTAAAACTCTTCCAGAAGCATGGGCTTAGTGACCTCACATGTTCTTCTCATCCTCATACGCTCATCTCTAGGAGGTGGCACCACACTCCCCATTTTGAAAGTGGCAGAGTCTGGGAGGGAGGTGACTTCTTCACTGCCACACAGTTAATATGTGATGAAAAAGGATTCAAACCCTAGTCCCCGCTCATAACCACGATGCTCCACTGTCTCTCCAAACATGTACTGCTCTCCAGTAGACAGAATATAGATTTGTGAAAAAGATTTACTTATGAATGTTTTAAAGGCATAAGTCACATGAATAGTTACTGCATAAATGTCATACCAGGCTCTTCCTTTTCCCAATTTCACATTCTGTCAAACAGGTTGGCTGACAATGAAAAAAACCTTGCCCTTCGTTTCTTCCTATTGTGTCAATCTGCTTATCTGTCTGTCAGCTTGGGCCCTGCCCGCAAAAAGCTGAAATCACCATCTGTCGTTTCACGAGCACAGTGGAGTCAGCATTTTGCCTCATCAGTGCATGAAGGCCAATGAACACGGGGCACGTGTAGGTGAAACTTAATCGACCGGGGCTGAACTTGCTCGTCTTTCAGCGTTTTCCGCCATCATGCCATTTCCAGGAAGGTCAGGAGTGAGGCGGGGGACTCCCAGGCTCCCGCGGCCAGCCTCTCCTTTATGCAGAAGAGTCGCAGGCAGAATCATTCACATACATTGTCGTGATTAAAAGACTGTTTTTCAGAAGAACTAAAAAAACAAATGACAAAATGCACTTCACGTTAAAACCAGAGTGAACCTGATTTATCCCCCTGTCTGGCGATGCAGAGGGCACTATAGGATCCCAGCGTGAGCCCAGAGGCTCCACTCTGCCCTCACTGGCTGAGGTCTCAAAAGAAGTCGGTTTATTTAAATCAGGCTCTTTTGAGTTCTACATCCACTGGATTCACGCAGGTGGCAAGGAGATTTACACTGCAGGGGCTGGCATTCATCAGGGACAATTCTGAGAGAGATTTTAGAGGGGAGTTTGGATCAAGTTTTGGAACGACAGGAGAGCAAGTTTGGTGAAAAGAAATCAGACTCAGAGTCAAGGTTAATTACAGGTGTGACAGGTTGAGGGCCGTGAGAGCAGTAATTTCTGGGGTGCTGGGGTGGGGGTGGGGAGCTTTGCAAGGGGTAACGGCTAATGTTTAATGTATTCATTGAATATTTAGTATGTACCAGGTACTGAACAAAATCTTTGTATGCATAATCTCATTTAGTAAGCCTCTACTACTCCTGTGGGGTAGGTACTCTAAAAGCCATTTTGCTAATGAGAAAAGTCAAGCAGAGAGTTAATTAACTGCTCAGGGTGGTGCAGTTAGCAAGGGCAGAGCCAGGCCTGGAGTCCAGGTCTGTGTGGCTCCTCCCCCGGGGCTCCCCCTTCCCCCTAGAGTTCAGTGTGTAGTGAGGCTACTAGAGAGGGTTGGACCTGGCCTGCGGAAGATGGAGGGCTTCGATGAGATTAGAACACGGGCCAGGGAGGAATGGATGGGAACGAACATCCAGCCGAAGTTCACACCAACGTCAGGTCAGTTGGGCATGTCATATAAGAGCTGGTCTGCAGCCACGGCATTTCCAAGACTTTTAGGTTAAAGACAGGCCTTGCCAAGGTAGGAGTCCAGGCCGGCGTGTTCGGGGCTGTCTCTAATGTGCTCGGGAGTTTTCAAAGGCCCTGGCAAGTGAGGACTGGAAGAGAGACTTCTGCGATTATTCAGTTTGACACCTTCTTGGTTTATTGTGTTTGGTAATTATTAACAGCATCGCTACTTGTTGTCTAAAGAAGATACTGGCAACGTGTAATTATAAGGTGAACCTGCTAAGCGTGGCCTTTGCTGACGCCCCTATCCAAAAGCATAGCTCACCCTCCCACGGCTCCATCCCTGTCTCTGCATCCTGTTACGTTTTTTTGTAGCACTTTTCTCCATCTGAAGTTACGGTGTTCACGGACATGGTTGCTGGCCCAGAGTACGTGTTCCATGAGAACAGGAACCACGTCTGCTTTGTTCCTGCTGTTTCAGCACTTAAAACAGCTTCTGCTCACAGCATTGGATAAGTGACTGTGCATTTTGAATTAAAGATAGACTTGAATGCATTAACCAATCATCATGACAATAAATGCATTATTAGCAACAGGTTAGAGAAAACGTATGTGTGTATATATAACACATGAAATATGTATCTATTACATATCAATTTGCTATATAAACATTTCCATAAATATGTGAGTAGTTGTTTGAAACTTTCACAGATTATCCACAGGAGGAAATATATCCTAGCTGGTTCTGTGTGGGCACTGTCATCTCAGTGCCAAGCAGCGTAGGAATAAACTTCACTCAAAGCATAAATAACCTACCCGAGTGTAACAACTTTGGGGTTTCCAGAACATTCCAGGGCTTCAGCATTTTTCCCCCCCTAGGGGAAGTGTTGAAGGAAGTTAAAGGATCATTAAGATCACTTATAATCTAAAATTAACGAGGACACCCATTTAGGGTTTAGCTGTGGGAAACATCGGGGCTTATCTAATTCTTTCTTTCCTTTTATTGCGTTTCCAGTCTCATCCCTCTCCCACTGTTCTCTTTAAGATCTGACCCTCTCCTTCAGCGTGAAGAGCCGCTCCAAGAGGTGTGTAAACGGCCCCTTGCAGGAGGCAGCCCGGAGGCGGCTCTGGGCGCTGGAGAATGAGGACCGGGAGGTGCGTGCGCTGTTTAAGGTGAGCTTGGGTGGGGCGGCGCAGCCCCGGGGCGGCCTCGCGCCCTTCCGCCCTTGCCCAGCACCGAGGACAGCGCTGGGAACAAAGTAGGCCCTCAAGGAAACATCTGACTGAACCGAATGGGTGAACAGAAATGTACACATTCTCTGCTCAACAGGAATGGGCAGGAACTCGCAATGGGGGCGGCCTCTGGGGTTGCCGAGTCAGAGAAAACTTCAGCTCCAATCTGCCCCTATTAATAGTATAAGCTTCCACAAGTGACTTAACCTGTCTCTGTAGAATGGGAGACGTTATAACACCTAACTCATTTAAGTATACTATTTTTAACGTGGCGAATTTGAGTTTTATTGTTTTTTCATTGTAATAAAATATACATAATGTACATTTTCAATTTTAATCATTTAAATGCCCAGTTCAGCGGCAAAGGTGCATTCGCATCGTCACGCGGCCATCACCACTTTTTCATCATCTCAGACTGAAACTCTGTACCCGCCGAACAGTAACTCCCTTCCGCCCGCTTCCCTCAGCCACTGGTAACCGCTGTCTACTTTTTTTTTAAGTGCCAAAATTACCAATGGAAAATTAATAACTATAAATAGTAGAATGAGAGGAGGAGAAGGCAGTAAAGTAAATAAACCAATTTCTCATCTTTCATAGTGGAAAGATAGTCTCTTCAATTATTAAACCAAGGAAGAAAAGTGTGATCAAATCGTTTACAGGTTAGGAGGTATTTACTAGAAGAACTAAAGTTAAAATTGGTTAAAAGTTGTTACAACTTTTAACAAAGTTAAAACACGGAGGAAGGAGGATATTACTTTCCATAATAAATGCATATGTTCTAGTTATTTTTACAGTCTCTGCATTAATTTGACACAAACTGACGCACTGAGGCTTGAGTGGGGCGCACCTGGGAAAGCCGAGGCCTGGGCGGGCTGGATCTGCCCTCCGGACAGGGGGCCACCGCACACGCACGGCGGACTTGAGCAGTTGCTTAACCTGTCTCTGCCCTGGCCCCCATGACTATAAAACAAGGATAATGCCATCCTCTATTAAATTTGAAATGCCGTTTGATTATAACATGCACCACTGTTTTGTTTACCTCTAAGAAAGAATATAAATACTGCCCATTAAGTATGATACCGTGTTTCCTTATCTTTTTTTTTTTTTTTTAGAAAAGATAAAAGCGGTAAAAGTGCATTTTAGAGTGGATTAAGTACTGTAATTGTGCTCTTTTCATAGGTTACTGTGAGGATTAAATAAGGTATCACTCATAAAGCTCTTGGTGAAGTGCTTAGCAATTAGTAAATTCTCTGCAAATCAACCTTTGCCTAGAACCCCTTCCCTGATGACCAGGATCTACATCCTCTAAGGGGCTGGGGCCTCCTGGGGCGTGGGGGCCACGGGAGTTGAACTAGGGCTCTTCCTCCGGATCCTTTCGTCCTCTTCTCCTTTCCTCAAGGTTCTACCAGTTCAGGATTTTAGGGGTTGATCTTTGATGGCGTGACCTGGCCTGGGGGCACAGGGACTTTCTGATGTCACTCGTTATAGTCAACTCCAGAGGCTTGGGCAAGCAGCAGAGAAGGATTCTGGGGGAAAACCAAGCCTGGGCAGTGACTCAGGCCTGGTTTTGTTTTGCTTTGTGTTTTTTCAGGTAAGCCTCCTTTTCCTCTGCTTGTGAACATGGAGATTGGCACAGTCTTTCTGGAGGGCAGTTTGGCTCCTGCATTTTAGGATTGACAATGTGCATATCCTTGCATTCCCAATTACACTTCTTGGAACGACTTGTGTCAAAATAATCAAGGATAAGTACAAAGATTTAGGTAGAGGATGTTTATCCTCTGTTTAGGATGTTAAAAAACAATTAAGACAACTCAAATGTTCAGCCATAAGGAAATGTTAAGAATTAATTACGTTAATGCAACAATGGTATATGTAACCATTAAAATTAAAGTAGATTATTTAGTGACATGGGAGATGGTTCACAAAATATTGTTTAGTGACAAAAGATTCTAAAATAATTTATGTAATGTGATACTATTTGTATAAAAATAATTACATAGAATCTCATGTATAGGAAAAAAGATTCAAAGTTAATACACAAAAATATTAACATTTACGATCTGTAGGAGGAGGGACTGTGAGTGATTTTCAGTTTTGTGTGCTTTGATTTTTCTGTTTGCCAGCTTTATAAAAATAACCAATAGACATAGATTCACAATTAAATTTGCTTCCAAGGTGCTTTCTATGATTTACCTTCCACCCTCCACAACAACTCCCCCACCTTTTTTTTTTTTTGCACTAAAGGTAGATTCTCTGTGCACAGTTCTGTACTATGGTCTCCTTTTGTTTCTGCCATTGTTCCATTTAGCAGTGTGTATTTGGAGGGTGTATCAGTACACAAAGAACTTCTTTATTCTTTTTTTATGGCTGCATGATATTAGAATATTCTACTATCTGGATGAACCATAATTCATTTAACCAGTCTCCTATGGATGGACATTTAGATTATTTCTCTCTCTCTCTCTCTCTCTCTGTAATGTAAAATTCAAAGCTATAATCAAGAAATCCGTACAAAGCATTTTGTACTTATGCGAGCTTGTTAACAGGACACTGTCATCCCAGGCTGACTCACTGTCCCCTTTACTCAGGACCTCTCAGCCAGGTTGGTGGGTATCCAGTCCCAGAAGGCCCAGTTTCTCATCACCTTCAAGACCTTGGAGGAAATCTGGAAGTTTTCCACCTACCTGAACTTAGGTACGATGTGGAGCGGTTAAAATGAATCCTTTAAAAATAATGCACCTCATAGTTACAGACAAATATAAATTTACTACCCTATATTAATATTATAGATTAGGTAATTAATAAAATGTTCAGAAATTCAAATGTAGTTATCAAGATGAAAAATGAGGCATTTGAAGAACAATTTTCACTTACCCCTCTGGCAAGCGCCTCTGTCACGGTTCAGCCAGTTTGGATGGCTTGACATTAAAGAATTGATCTGTCTCAGATAATTAATTAAAAGGAGTAGAGCCCTGACACAGGTAGTTAACTTTTGAAATATTACAAACTGCCTGGAACTAAATCTAAAGCAAATATTAACTACTACTCTAAAATGCCATATGTGGTGCTTCTTTGTATTCAGGGAGAGACTTCTTTACCAGGCAAGAAATCAACTGGCAGACAGGTCTTGGTCATAGACTAAATTCATAGACTGAGATAGATGTGAACTTGATGGTTTACAAAAAGAAACCAGTCTTGACTAAGATCAAAGTAACTGCTTAAAATAATAAAGTTCCAGATACTTTATCCCATGTTTTCAGAAAAGAGCCAGAGAAAGCGATGGGGAGTTATCTGCTGCAGGGGCCTCAGGTTGCAGGGTTTTCTAGACAGTAAAGGAGGATACTGGACACAGACCCAGTACTGCTGTGGCTGGAAAAGCTTCATCTGTCTTCTCTATGGAGAATAGCTCGTGACAGGGAAATTCAGGTTATGAAGCAAAATCAGGTAAAGCAAGAGGAGGCCGCTTGAATGGACATACGTCGTACATCTCCCAGAAAATGCCGACTCCATGCAGACTTACACAGGAAGCAACCTTGTGCAGGGGCTCACAGCTAGAAGGCATAACTTCTCCTTCTGTCATCACGGCGATTCTCTGCTCTCCACGCTACAGATCTCCCGTGACCCTTAGAGACCCTCGCTGTTCAAAAAGTGTTTCATGAACCAGCAGTAATGGCATCACGTGGGACATGTTAGAAAATTGAAACCCTAGGCTTCACCCCAGACCTTCTGAACCAGCATCTGTGTTTCAATAAGGCCCTCGCGTGATTAGCGTGCACGTTAAAGTGCAAGATGCACGAGGCCTAGATCAGTACGACGGAGAGTCAGAATGGGAAGAGATGGGCTTTTGCCACTTAAGAAATAGAGGAAGCCTCAAAAGAAGCAACATTTTAACATGAACATTGCACATTTATAGGCATGTTTCAAATGCTATTTATAATTGTTAGGATTTTGCAATGTGCATAGTTTCCAGTCCGGGTTTAACAAGGGAGAGCTTACTGGGCCTGAGTGAGGCAGAGAGCCAGAGTGTGAATGCTGAAATAAATCCTGACTCCTTCATGGGCCATGGGGAGCCTGTGTCCCAGCCACTGCATCCTCAGGGTTACAGGAATTTAAGCCTCAGGTTGGGAGAACTTTAAGGGGGAGCCAGGAACCCCCAAAGTCAACACTGCAATCTTAGAAATTCCTCCATGGATGTATTTTAGAAAAAGGTAATTTGGTTCAGTCATCTCATTATGCATTTATGGAGACTCATAATAAGTTGAAAATGATAACTATCATGTAAAATAACTTGTATTTCCCAACAGATGCTGAGAAAAATTAATTCCTTCTGGAAAGTCTCTAGCTACCTCTCTTATGCTCTTCCAGTTAGATGGGGCTGAGTTGAGGCTGGAGGTCTGGGAAGGAACTTCAGGAGAGAGTTCGCGCACCCTTTTCTGTGCTCAGCTAATCATGTTGCTCAGGAACCCTGTTGGTTTGACCTCTTAGGCTATGTATCTGCATGTCTGGAGCATCTTCTCTTCGACCACCGTTACTGGCTCAACTGCAGACTGGTAGAGGATACAGAGATCCAAGTGTCAGTAGATGATAAACACCTAGAAACAATGTACCTGGGACTCCTGACACACGAAGGTGAGCATGGAGTAGGGATGAGGATGGGAGTCTTATCTGGTTATTTATTATCAGAGTCCCTGGGATAATTAGGATACAAAAGGAGGTAAAAGCCATTCAAACATGATAATATTCACAGATAAACCAACCTGTTAGATAATATTACCCAAACATCTTTCTCATTTTGACATGGACATCATATGAACAGCTATGTTGGCCAGTCTCACTGACTGATGTTAGAACCTCCTAGGGAGTTTTCAGAAGATGCTCATGCCAGGGCTCCACCCAGGCCAGAGAAATCTTGAGAGGTGGGGGCTCAGCTTCTATAGTTTTTGAAAGTTGCCCAAGTTTTCCAATGTACATCCAAGACTGAGAATCGCTTTTCTAAACATATGATACAATTTGATTGTAAAATAAAATTGAAAATCTTGCAAAACCTAAAAGATTTCATGAGATTGAGGGAAGGGATATTGAACTTTTTGAAGCACCCACCAGTCTGTTTACAAGGAAGGATCTGATCGAGGCTACATTAGAGAGACGGATTTGCATAGACTCTTTTGCAAAATGATTCTCTTTATGATTGCAGTGCCCAAATCATATGTGAAAGAAGGAATTTCATACTGTGCTGTTATACAATACAGTTGCAGAAGTTATATACATCCCGATCAACATAATTTATTCTTCATTGGGCCTAAGATTAAGCGTGAGGTTGAAATTATAACTAAATATATTTTCACAAGTTTTTGTTTCGTTTATTTTCAAGGTCAAGTCCCAATTACACCTTAGTCTCTCTCATTAATTAGAACTTTTGGTGTCTATTTTAAGTGACTTTCCTCTCAGGAGCTTTTTTTCCTGGTACCGGTTTTCCCGAGATCACAAGAACCTCCTGTAGCCTGCCTCTCGAGAGACTTTGTCCTTTGCTCCCAGGAAGAAAGTGTCTGGGTTCTGGAGAGAATTGCCATGGTTTGATAGTCCCTTTCCGCTTCCTGCTACTCCTTGGAAGGGCTTTTCTCATTGTCTACAGGCCACTTCTTCTGCAGAGCCACGAGCTCTGTGGCTCAGCCAGCTGAGAAGGAAGGGGAGTGTTTGACACTTTGCAAGAATGAGTTAATCTCAGTGAAGATAGCTGAAGGCGGGTCCGAGTGGGAAGGTGTGTCCTTGGTGACGGGCCAGCGGGGCCTGGTGCCGGTGTCAGCCCTGGAGCCCCTGCCGCTCCCTTTTCACCAGTGAGTAGCCGCTTTTTTCCTCCTGAGGGCCGGGATCCCGAGCAGCCTGAGGTCTGTGCACGGCAGAGTAGGCACGCTTGCAGATGTGGGCATCCATGGTGCCAGGGAGGGAGCAAAATCTGGCTGGCTTTTTGTTCCTTTGTTATTATTTCTTGAATGGAAGTTTGCACAATTTGGTGAAACTGGAGACAACTCTACATTTCAGATGGATATTGTACCTAAGAGGTAATATGCTGTTTGGTCTCCAGTGTAGTGTTTATCAGTGTAGGGACTGGAGACCATTTGTTTCAGAATCACCTGAGGATTTTACTACAAATTTAGACACCCCCTGGCTGTCCTCAGACTTTCTTGGGGTTGGATCCAAACATTTTTTACAAACTCCCCTTACACATAAGGAGGGAGAGCCTGCTGGAAGATATCGTGAACTCAAACAGACTCGTAACAATAAACATTACTCAGGCCGTGCACCTGTGTGTGGCTCTGGCAGAGAATCTGACAGTGAGAATGGAAAGAGATCTTCTGCTAGTTATTTAACTGACAAACTAATTGCAGAACCAGAAAACACACCAGGCCGGCTGAGCTCCTCTCCTTGTCACAGTGCCTGCCTGATACAAAGTAAATTCTCAACAAACGCCTGGCCGTTGTTACAATAACAGCAATAACAATAATACTTATCGGCGTCACTATCATTGTTATTTTAGTGGACTGTTCTGCTCCCTGTTCTAATTTTTTGAAATCCATGTTTGCAAACCCCGTGTTTCCATTGGCAGATGGTTCCTAAAGAATTATCCAGGAAGCTGCAGCCTTTCCAGGAAGCGGGACAGCGTGGGCTCCTGTCAGATCGGTATGGCTGAGTTACCACCGTGAGGGAGATAACACTGCCCCGCCCCCTCCTTTTGGCTGCAGGTTTGGAGTCAGTTGATCTGGATTCCTGTCTCGCCTCTGCTACCGACTGGATTTGGGGAAGCCGGTTCCAGTCTGTTCCCATGGGTTTCCTTGCCTATAAAAAGAGGAGGCTCATCCAGGGCTGTAGATACGAATGCCTGTAGGGGCAGGCAGAGCACACAGATGCGTGAGGGCCTGGCTGGAAGATGTAGGGAATGGTAGGGACCACAGGGACGTGTGGGTGAAAAACAAAACAAACCTGGCATGGGTCAGATGTGGCCTGCAGGCTGCCCGTTTTCAATCTCCGGTCAAAATGTTTTTAATTTCCCTTAGAGTTTTGTGGAATTAATCTTGAATTTAGGAAGAGTAAGAATGCCTGGCACATAGTGCCTGGATACTCATTAAATATTTGTTGACTGACTGAATGAAATATATATTATATATAATATATATAACATATATGTATAATATGTATTATATACACATATACACACAGACATACACAAATATTTTAGGCAATTTCTGTCTATGTGTGTGTATATATACACATACACACATAGATATATAAATATATATGTATCTGGTGGATAATAAACTTTAATGTTTTCTAGCCATCTAGAATATACATTTTTTTCTTCTTCATCCTTAGAGCACCCCATAGTATGAAGTATAATTTTATAAGTTCTAAGCCTGAATAACACTTAAAAAAATAGAGGGAATTATGGAACCCAGACATTAGATCTAATCAATAACCTTAAACAATATATTTAGCTCTATGAATAGTGTGGCCTTGTCATAAGGAACATGGGACTATGTAGCCTGTTCTGGGTTCAAATTCTACTCCACAACTCAAAAACCAGTGTGACCTTGGTCAGTTCATCTGTCCTCACTGTGCAGCAAGTTCTTCCTCAGTAAGTTTTACTATAAACCCAATTTCAAATGTTGTCAGGGAAACTAAACTAAATGAGATCTATAAATCACTTAGTACGGTTTTCTCATATTGTGTTTAACACATTGTAGATTCTATCAGCCCACAAAGCAGTGGGAATTTCTAATGGTGAAGACATGATCAATAGAAAATTGACAAAAAATGTCAGGGGAAAAAAAAACAAACAAAACAAAAACCCCAGCAGTTTTAGCAGAGGAGCTAAAGCAAATATGGAAACCAAGGCATATTAAAAAAACAAAACGTTATCTCAACTAGAGGAGGACTTGTGGAAAGAAGGGTTACCAGAGCCAAGAGATGTTGATTCTAGATTCTCTCTGTGATCCCCACTTTCTACTCTATAAAAAAGCCATTCTGTAAGTTGTTCTTCTGACTCTTTGGGGCTCCTGGGAAGACCTGAGAAAACGGACATAAATGTGCTTTGTGAACTGAACATTACGACGCTCATAAATATGTCGCTCCTACTAGATGCTAGCTAGGCAACTCGTCAAGCTAGGTCATGACCACGGTCTGAAGGGGAGACCCCAAGATCCCTTTGTGCCATCAGCGGCTTTCTGTTCACCAGCAGCGTGAGGCTAACATTTATGGAGGGTCGACTATTTATTTATAACATTTATGGAGGGTCGACTATGTACCAGCATTGTGTACTTTATTTCTTTGACTCTTCCTAATATTTATGAGAGACAAGTATTCTTATCATCCCCATTTTACAGCTGGGGAGACTGAGGGCCACCGTGGCCAAAGGAGCTGGAAGGAAGTGGAGAGATCCTGCAGTGGTTCTCACCCTGGTGTGTGGGTTTGTGCCAACCACGATGAAGTGTTTGCATGATAATGGCAAATCGGACTAAGTAGGACAAATAGTCAGCTTTCCAGTTTCCCATAAGCTAACTTTGTTCTGTTTTAAGGTATATCCAGTATTCTGAGATTATCTTTTGTGTATCTGTTATAACAGCTTTTCTTTTATAAAATGATGGTGAAAGTGGATGGTAGTTCCTTTTATTGAAGTCCTAGGTTGTCAAAACAAAAACTACCCTGTGTCATTCCTTCCAATTTCTTTTTTTTTGGCGAGGGTAAGTGTGGAGGTGGAATTCTACAGGCCCTTGACATTCTAAAGTGTGGGAACCCCTCATTTCACATTATATCGAAGCTAGTGGAAGGCTCAGCTGTTTCTGCCTTGTGTACTTGACTCGGGTGCTGTTTCCCCACAGGCAGAGGAAAATGTAAGGCCTGGAAGGATTACGAGCGGGAAGAAAAGGATGAGCTGAATGTCTGCCAAGGAGATAGCATCGAGATCATCGGCGTCATCATTCCCGGGCTTCAGTGGTTCATCGGGAAGTCGACGTGCTCAGGGGAAGTGGGCTTTGTCCCCACCAGGAATATAGATCCTGATTCTTATTCCCCAATGTGAGTATGACAGAGGGCCCCTCTGAGATGTCCTGGAGCCGGGCTGCCTTCTCCTGGGGTGTCTCCCCATTCTGAGCAGGTTCGCAGGTGCACTGCAGGGTTTCCTGGTAGCAAGGAGCCAGAGGAGCACATTCTGACAAACAAGGCCGACGCAAGGAGTGATAGGATGGAGAGGATGAGTGAGCAGGGAATAAGTTCGGTTTATTTCAACAGATGGTGACTGAGGCCCTCCTCTGTGCAAGGAGAGAAATGCAGCCCCAAGACAAAGGCCTGCTGTTGGGCACCGGGTACGCGGTGTTCGTCTTTGTTTTCTGCCACTCGTCCTATCTAATCAAGGGGCCCCATCAAGGCAAGTACGCACATGGGGCCGATAGAGTACAGCTCAGTCCACGGAGAGGCCCCCCGTGTAGATCTGGCTGCCTAGAGCATACTGTGCCGTCAGCATTGGCCAGGATGATAGAATGCGTCTTTTACTCTTTCTGCCTTGAGTCCAGAAGGGCTGGTTCTGAGGAGCAGCAGACGGCCAGCCATCTCCATCGCCCTGTCACAGAGGGACAGAGCTCACGAGTACTGCGCAGCCTCTCGGGTGGGCTTCTCGCACAGGATAGGACTCGGTAGGAAGCCTGGGCCCAGGACTACGACGAGAGGGGACGGAGCTGGCTGCTGACACTGAGACTCCGTAGACCCCTGCACCAGGGAGCCGTGGCCCGTGGGATGTTTAAGGCTCTGAACACTCAGCCTGGAATCCTTTCTCTGTGGGAAAGAGCCACCGAGGAGAGTGGACCAAAGGGCAGAGCCCCGCCTTTCATAGGGAGAGGGAACAGAAGGTCGTTTTCTCTACACAGAAATGTGGGAACTCGTGTAACTCTAAACAAAGAAGGTCACTCACAGAGCTCCTGGAGGGGTATGGAGTGCTACAGGCATTTATAAGGGGGATGGGATGTCAAGAGAACTTTCATGAACAAGCTGACATTTGAGTTCAGCTCTGAACAATGTACATGTCTCAACTCGTAAATAGGGAGAGGAGGTGACAGGTGGGAAATTGAGGGGGTGTTGGGAAGCAGATTGCCAGGAGGGGGGTGGGCAGGGCACGCCTGTGCTGGGCCTGTCTTCACCTGGCAGAGAATGGGGAGCTGCTGAGTGTCTCTGAGCAGGGGTGACTTGACTGGGACTCCTCTCTAGGAAGCTGACCCTGGCTCTGGGGGAGGCCTCCCTAGGTGGGGGAGATCCTGGAGCAGGACACCAGTGAAAAGGCTGAGGCCGGTGGCCTTGGGAAGGGGCAGGGGGAATGGAGAGGAGAGGGCAGGGCTGAGGACCGATCAAGAGGAATTTAAAGATTCCGGGAGCTGTACAAACGTGGACACCTGTGATCGACCCTGGAGGCTCCATGTCATTGGTCTGGGTGGGGCCTGGGCAGCGATGGTCAGGAGAGCTCCCCAGGTGGGGCCAGCGTGTGGCCAAGGTGAGACCACTGCTCAAACCACCCTCATTTACCGCTGGGAGAAGTGAGGACCTAGGAATGAGAGGCTGGGACTCAGGGCCGTGGGTCTAGAACCCTGGAATCCTGACATTAAATCCAATGAGTGCTGCAGCCGAGGTCCTGAAGAAAGAAGAAAGAACAGGGCCTTGATGGGAAAGAACTGTTTACAGAGCAGAGGAAGAAAGAATGTATCGAGAGAGACAGAGGAGCCGGCTGAGAGGGAGGGACCATTACAGGGCGGCGGGGGATGCTTCACACTGAAAGGCCTTTGGGACTGGCCACTGGGAGGTCATTGGTCCTCAAGAAGCAACATAGCTTAGTAATCAAGAGTTACAGAGCAAAACTGCTGGAAAGGCATTTATGGCCATGTGAGCACATCACGTGTCTCCGTTAGTGTACTAGCTGAGTGACTTTGGATATGTTAATTTGTCTCCCTATGCCTTAGTTTTCTCATCTGTAAAATGTATACAACATTTGTATTTATCCATAAGATCATCATGAGTTTCAAGAAGCTAATGCAACATGTAAAGTACTTAAGATGGTACCTGGAACTGTGTGTGTGTGTGTGTGTGTGTGTGTGTGTGTGTGTGTGTGTACGCGTGTGTGGGCACATGGTGAATATGTATTAGCTCTTTTATTGCTGTCACTGTTGTGTGTGGTAAACTTTGAGAGGCAGTTTTAATAGGATATTGTGGGCAGGTGTCAGATTTCACAAATTACATTTGGACTTCAGCATCTCATACCTTGCCCCAAATGACAATAACACAATACCATTAAATCAATTAATCACATTTTAGCTGGCTTTGTTGTAGGGGATACACTCTAACCCTGAAGGACATCAGCCCCTGTATTGGAGCGGTGGCATGAGACATTCTGTTTCCACAGTGTCATCTGTTGGTTTACACCTGGTCACTTGTGGGGCACAGTGCACCAGAGATTGCACACTGGGTGGGGATTAGAAAAATGAGCCAGGGGACAGGGAGGGGTGGAAGAGGAGAAGAGAGGGTAACTGGCTCATTGCATCTCCATGAAGCACTCTCTCGAACGCAGACATCCCTAAAACACAGCAATCAGGAAAACCCCACAAACAACCTGGACACAAGCTGCAGCCCAAGTGTGTCTTGGAATCATTCCTGTGTGCTATGCCAGAGATTGGCCACTGGGTGTCACGCTTGGTCTATGTTTGTTTGGTGTCGGGTTTCTGAAGCTGGTCCCTGAAGTCTCCATCTTCTCACAGATTCCCTCTCTGTCTGGTATACTACTCCTCAAGAGGGGTGGGTGTGTGTGTGTGTGTGTGTGTGTGTGTTTTCATTTATTTAACCACATTGTCAGTATATTGAGAGTGAAATTTCTCAGAAGCTGTTTTCTGAGTCAGATTTACTCTGAACCTCTGACACATGGGAAAGGGATCCTAACTTCTCCACAGAAGCAAATTTATGGGTTTCCTTTTTTAGGCACAGTTCAGCAACAGCAGCTGAAAGACCAGTTCTTAAAACTTGTGGCAGACATTCTTTCTTAATAGACAGCATATTTGCATTAGCCAGAGTGACTTCAGAGCTCTCAGCTTTAGACAATAACAGAACTCTCCATCCTTCCTTAAAAAAAAAATGTTTTATGTTTTTAAAAATTTATCTGTGTATTTTTGTATATGTATGTGAATTTTAAAGGAAAAGTGCTTTAGATATAACTGAAGATGCCTTTTTCCCTCTGATCCTGATTCCCAGCCCAGAGGCAAACTCTATTTGAAGGTAATATGTATGTGTCCAGTCCTTATTCTGATACATTTTAACAATGGATATTTGTCCATAAACCAAAAATACTATAGTTCTATGTATTTAAGTGTTTATATAAATGTTTTTTCTGCAACTAGCCATTTCCTCAGTTGACTTTATAAGTTTAAGATTTAGTTTCATAGTAGTAGAAATAGTTCATTTTAGTAAAGTGTTTCTTAAAGGAAATTTATATACTTAAATGCCTAAATTTAAAAATAGGCGAGATTGAAAATTAATGCACTCAAACCATAAAAAAACAACAAAGGAGAAAAGACAGTATTTCATGGTATGAAACATTTTTTAAAAATCTTTCTTACATCCCCTCTTTTATCCTACATATTGTTTATCTGTGTCATCTTTATAATTCCTTTCCTTGTGGCATCTGTTTGATGAGAAGTATGCTTCTAGCCTCATAGCCATTTCTTTGTAGGTAGGCAGCTCTTTTCCTCACTGGTTTATTTTGTTAAGGTTTCTTTTTTGCTATTGATGTTACACAATTTTCTATGTGTCCTGATGTGATATATTCTATTATATATTTATAGCAAGTCGTCTACTTCATAAGGTATGTCTTTTAGTAGTTATTTCAGTGGCGATCTGTGAGTTGTAAATATTCTTAGTCTTCAGTCCTTGTTTGTGTGAAAAATACTTAAAATATACTCTTGAATGGTAATTTAGCTAGGTGTAGAATAACACCTTCCGAGTGTGGAAGGAAAAATAACTATTAATATAAAATTTCGAATTCGTTTTGCCAGGATTTTGTCCATTTTATTAATCTTTTCGGAGAACCAATTTTTCTTATGTTGACCACCTTTATTGTTTCTTTGTCTTCTATTTTATGAATTTCATATTTACCTTTATGATTTTCTTCTACTTTCTTTGTTTTTATTTCACTGATTTGTTTTCTTTTTCTTTATATTTAACTCTTTCATTTCATAAATCAAACAATTACATAATAGCTAAATTGAACCCAGAAAGAAGGATTGAGAGAAATAGAAAACATGAAAAGACCTATGATCTTAAATGGAAATCATGTTTAAAATTATATTATTTTTATTTATTTTGCTCAGGACTTGCTGTGGTTCTTCAATTGAAGACTCAGTCTTTCTTCAGTTCTGGAAAATTTTCATTCTCCCTTTGAATATTACCTCTCTCTCATTCTTTTTAGTCTCTCTTCTGGAATGCCTAGTAGAGGTATGTTTGACTTGTCATTCTATTCTCAATCCTGCCTAATCAGTTCTTTTGTATTTTTTATCTTTTTGTCATTCTAGGCTAAATTCTGGGTGATTTCCTCAGAACAATCTTTAGTTTCACTAATTTTCTCCTCTGCTGCAACTAAACCTGTTTAGCTCACTCATGGAGTCCTAACTTTCCATGCCTTTATTTTCGTTTCTAGAATTTGTATTTTGCTAATTTTTGTGTATGCTTCTTTCCACTCACAATGTTCCACATTTTTATTGTAACTTCTATTTGCTCTTTTTATTTCAGGATTTAAACTATATTTTTTTAATAAATTAATCTTCAAGTTATTGTTATTTCTAGTTTTTATAGTATTCATTTACCTATTTGTGTATCTGCTGACTCTTGTAAGTAGTTCATTTTTTGTGTGGTTTGCATTTTTGGTTATGTGAACGAATTTTCAACATTTTAAAAGATGGTCTTTGCATGAAACCTGGACTGGTGAAAGCATCCCAGGAGAGTAGTTTTGACATTTGTTTTCCCTGAAGACTTAGAACTCAATGGTCCAAGCCTGTTGCTCTAATGTTGAATGTTCTGCTTGTGGTACCCACACTGTGCGGTGTAAGTTCAGGTCCCATACCTTCTAATGGTGTAAATCTAGGTTTTTTAAAACATTTTTTCCCCCAGGGATTCAGATAGATGCAATGTGTGCTCTTGGTGGGCAACTTTTCCAATCCCCTCTTTACGAAAGTTGTTCCAGATTTTGGGCCCTATGGAACTCAAAGCTATGTAGGGAGCTCGGTTCAGCTTCTCTGGTCCACACAGGTCCCAAGTCGCATCTCCTGACCCTGGGTGGCATTACAAAGTCAGCTCCAGCTCTGACAACTAATGTCCCTGCTGAGAACCCCCAGGGACTCTGGGCTTACGGACTTGTCTTTGGTTTCTTCTTTCGTTTCTGGCTCCCAGGAATTTCCTCTTCTTCTTTAAGGTCAATGTATTCGAATATTTATCTTTGTCACATTTTATCCAGGATTCATCTGCGTGTGTGAGGGAGAATAGCCGTGTGTGGAGCACTTCCGCCTGACATGTTTTTGGAAGCCCTACCAGGCTCCTCCTACCTACCTACCTCATCCTCATGCTGGGAAAACCCTCATGTAATTTGTCAAGCTCCTGGGAATCTGAATACCTGGGACTCGGGATGTTAGCAGAGCAGCTTCGAGGCAATGGACACAGAGGCAGACGACCTCAGCTTGAGTCTCAGCCTCACCACTTTCTAGCTGTGTCATTCTGAGAGTATCACTGAATCTTTCCGAATCTTCATCTACACATGTGGATAAAAATACCACGTCATCGGTGTTTTCTGAAGAGTAGTAAATGAGATAATCAATTCAGGAATTGCTTTTAAAATATAAGAGTTACAGGAAAACTTAGGATCGTGTAATTCTTTTGATCTTAAATGAGTTTAGTTGTAGAATTCAATTGTGTGCTCTTTCGGGGATGGATGCTCTCATGGAGAAACTGAGGGTCAGACCAGCGGGGTGGGGGTCCAGTAAAGGTCGTTGAAAGAACGCTGGGCCAGAAGCCAGGACACAGCTTTGGTGCCAGTTTTGCCCCTAATTAGTGGGGTGACCTTGAGCAGTTCCTATCAGCCGCTCGTTTTTCTCATCACTGCATTTATCTGAGCTATGGGTACAAAGGGTAGGTGGCAGACCACAACACCTCCATCCCCATCCTCCCCAACCGTGCTTGTCTTTTTTTCTTTTCTTTTTTTTTAACGCCTACAGCACCTGGTTTTCCTAGGTGGTCTCCCATCCAAGGCCTGACCCTGCTTAGCTTCCGAGATCAGACGGGATCGGACACGTTCAGGGTGCCGTGGCCATAGTACCCTGCTCGTCTTATATTTGAGTCTACCACTTCCTAACTACCAACTTCTTTTTCTGTGCCTCAGTTTCCTCCTCTGTAAAAAGAGGATAAGAGTGGTATCTGCCTCATAGGGCAATATTAAATGAGATAATGGTGTCTGATTCATAGTGAGTCCCCCAAAATATTAGCTGTTATTAACTCTTGGGCTTCCAAGTAATTTTGTTTAAGATATGGATTCTGAGGTTAAAAAAAAAAACCTTTATTTAGAAGTGAAAGAGATCTTAAAAATTGTTCAGATAGATACCGAATTGAACACTTTCTAAAGCACTTCTAGTTTTCAAGTTCTTTGAGTCTATGACAAATCTCTCTAGGAAGCAAATTGGCTTTAACAATTAGTTTGTAATACAGGGTGACTATAAAGATCCCTGTGATTTACAGTCATTTCTTCCAGCCCCCTGGGGCTTCTACCCACCTCCCGTTTCTTAGTGTTCTGTTTCTCTCCCGATGCTGCATACCACTGTCTGTGTTGTGGAATCCAACCAATGTCAACCGTTATGAAAGGTTCCTTCTGACTGTCATCAAATTTTCTTTATCATTCCTCTAGGTCGTGTCACCTGTTCTGTGTGATTTCTTGCAATAACCTCACAAAGAAACTTCTTTTAATGGTTCCTTTCCAACCCTTATATTTAGGGCAACCTATTCCTATTTCTCCCATTAAAAATAGGCACCTTATGGTGTCGAAGAATGGGTAGGAGTTGAGAGAAGAGGCTTTCTTTTTTGGGGGGGAAGATAGCGTTTTAACAGAATGGGCGTTTCCATCCCCACTTTGCCCTATTCAGCAACTGTGTAGCTCTGTTCTCCATGGGTGAAGTGCAAACAGCAATTCCTCGCTGGCAGTATAAATAAGTACATTATACAACACTGAGACGAGGAGTCTGAGTTCAGTTATGGGCATACGGGTTGATGGCTTCTCAATGTCCTTCACTGCATCATCAGATGGAGAGGGAAGGGGTCGTGCCCAGAACCTTGCACTGATCTGTGTTCATGTCTTTTGTCTCAATGCAGAAGCAAGAACTCCGCTTTTTTCAGTGATGAAGAAAGATGCTCTCTGTGGGTCCTGGAAAGTGACTGGAAAGCTGAGTGTGCCAGCTTCCTCCACGCGCTTGCTCATACTGACATAACATCTGTCTACCGGCTTAGTGAGTATTCGCTCCCCGGACCCTGTTGAAAGCCCAGGCTCCTCACGATTAAGAGAGGGTCTCTAAATAGGAGTAGAGGATCTTTAAATCTGACTCCCATCCGTGAGTTTGGGGCTATGGCCACTATTCAGTCGATGACCCGGATCATGATTGTTTAGCAGCACTTTCACTTTAGATTTCAGACAGTTCTGGGGTTGCGTGGGACTTTTTCCTAGAAACTGTGAGATACGTTGAAACTAACCCATCTGTAACATGGGAGGTCTGCCATATTGAGCCTTCCATTCTAATTCAGGAGAAGAAAAACTTCCTGAGTAGCTGTTGTGGTCCCTTCTCCTAGGACCGAAGTATGTCTAGGTCCCCAGTGACCGAGGTGGGGGCCTAAAACATTACAGCTGGAAGGATCCTAAGAGGTGATTTCTCCTCCCACTTCACAGATTGGGAAACTGAGGCCCAAGTGAATCAGTGCCTGAGCCAGAATAAGAACTGCACTTCCCTATTTTCAGTCAGGACAACCCTTATTTTGCCACATCGCCCCCGACACAAATGCCATTGGACTGCTGGGTACGCTAGACTTGGGTGGGTCAGTGCCTAGTGCAGTTCTCAGCAGTGTCAGGATGGTGGACTGAGTGAATGAATGACACTACTTTCCCTTCCTTTGGGCAGGGCCCACCGCGCTGTGTCAGAAAGTACACTCTCCCATGACAGGTTTCTTATTTCTCCCATCTCTTCAGCAATGGTGATGCTTTGTCTGCTCCTCTGTGGCCAGATTAGATGGGGCACGTTTCCTGGGTACAGCCAGAGATTCTGCAGGAGGGACCCGTCAGGTCAGCTCTCGGGGCCAGAGGCAGGAGCTGGAGTCTTCCTCCAGCACAAGGAGCATTTGTGAGGGGCACTTAGCTCAGACATCAGCACCCGCCCTGGCAGAGGGTTTCTGCCACAAGCAGATCACACTGCCCCACCCAGCTGAGCCAGGAAGCTGAAACTATGGGTGTTGCCTGGTAGGTGCGAACTGAGGTCTGAAAAGAACTACTTGGGGTGTGCCTTGGGGATGTAGGCTGCAGACTCAGATCTAAGGTATCTGCCAATCATTGATCCAGTGGTTGAGGGAGATCCAGGAGCAAGTCCCGGGCGGCCTGAGGCCTTTTATCTAAAGACCGGTAGTGTAACTCTGCTGGGTACAGAGCTGTGCCTTATGGCTGTGCAGGCCGCCCCTGCCACCAAGGAAACCAGCAGAAGGGACATACTCTGGGTAAATTCCGGCTCCCCCAGGGCCTGTGCCCTGGGGAAGGAGTACCTCTCTGTAACTTTTCCTCCAGAAGGAGCACCTTTTTGTAGCTCATGCAATGTTTGTGTTCTCGGGGATCGTGGCCTGGAGACAGATGGCTGCAGTAAGAATGGCTCATGTCCTCAGAGTCAGTGAGGGACAGGTGCGTGAACAGCTCTGCAGGGCTCAGCTCTCCTGTGTTTGGCTGCGGAGCCTTCTACCCTTTGGGGCTTGCAGACCTCAAGTATCTGCAATGACACTCGCAGAAAAAGCCTTCCCCGGCGAATAGAAAGCAGAGGCTTGCCTTGGTGAGGGGCCTGCTGTCCTCACAGTTCACCAGTGAGCCCAGAGAGGGAAGAGGCGGCTGTCGCGTCTCTGCCAGGAACAGGCAGAACCTCCTCTCCCCCAGCCCCTGCCCTGCGGAGCACGACTCTGGCCTTGGCCTGCGCAGCTCCACCGAGGCTGCTCGGGTCCTGAGGATTCCCGTCTTTGCTGCCAAACTCACTGCGTCTTCTTGGCTCTCACCTAGTCTCGTTTCACTCTCGTGACATTAGGTGGCTGCACCGTAAAGCACCCTGCTCTCTGTGTCTCCTCTTTTCTCGCTGACTGTACCTTTCCGGTCAGTCTCCTTCACTGGCTCCCACTTGCCACCTTGTCTCCCGCTGGATCGATTCCATTCTCTGCCGAGAGCTCCTGCAAGAAGGGCAAACTCAAAATGTCCAAAACCAGGCTCGAGACTGTCCTTTCGCCTGCCTCATCCCGCCAAGTCACTTCAGAGAACAAAACTAGGCCCCTCAGATGCATCTTCGCTTTCTTTTCTTCATTATTCACCTTTGGTCACCTTGTCCTGTCAAAGCACATTGTACACACTAAGTCAGTGTCTGAGTGGACGGGTGATGGATGAGAGGAAGGAAAAAGGAAGGATGGTACACGCGGGAATGGGAAGCAGTGCCACGGGCCACAAAGTGCGCTTCGCTTGAAGTTCTGTTCACGGCTCTGCCGTAAAGTTATTGAGAGATTTGGGGCTTCGGATTCTATCATCCCCCCGACCCCCATGCTGCTCGGCATAGAGCTCGTGCTTCCAGCTTTTATCCTCTGATTCTGTACCTCGGTTCCCAGTTGTAGAGTGAATAGGATAAGTCAGATAATCTTCAAGTTCCTGCAGCTCTACACTGATAACGAAGGGGAGAATTCTGCCCAGTTTCTTAAAGATGGCTGATGGTCTGAAACTTAAACACAGAGTCTCCTAAGGGGCCACTGGTCTGGGGTACACCTATAGGCAGAGGAATGGCGGCCCATGATGATCTAACACAGGTCTGTCCTTCATCTTTATCCAGGTGGATTTGAATCCATCCAGAATCTCCCAAACGATCTGAGTGGTGAGTAGATCCTGCTCTGACCCCCTCAGTCTTTCTGGGCAGCATCCTGTCCTCTTGCCAAGAGCTGGCCGCCATATTGCAAGTACTCATGGTTGCTCAACTCTGCCTGTCCCTTACAGCGTCCCAGCCCACAAGCTTCAAAGAGACCCGGCCTGGTGGGGCCTGGGAGGAGCACTGGGCCGTGGGCTCCAGACCGTCCAGCAGCTCCGAGGACTCCAGCCTGGAGGACGAGCTCCTCTCAGCCGCCTCAGACAGTTATCACCTGCCGGAGCCCGATGACCTTGATGACCCGGAACTGCTCATGGACCTGAACACTGGTCCGGAGGAGGAGGAAGCTGAGAACTTCGCCCCTATATTGGCTTTTCTGGATCACGAGGGTTACGCCGACCACTTCAAGAGCCTCTATGATTTCTCTTTCTCTTTCCTCACATCTTCCTTTTACAGCTTCTCTGAAGAGGACGAGCTGGTGGCCTATCTGGAGGCCTCCAGGAAGTGGGCCAAGCGGAGCCGCATGACCTGGGCCCATGCCCGGCTCTGCTTCCTCTTGGGCCGGCTGAGTGTCAGGAAGGTCAAGCTCTCTCAGGCCAGGGTGTACTTCGAGGAGGCCATCCACATTCTCAGTGGGGCGTTTGGGGACCTCTCCTTGGTAGCTGCTCTGTACATCAATTTGGCTGCTATCTACTTGAGGCAGAGACTGAGGCATAAAGGCTCGGCCCTGCTAGAAAAGGCAGGCGCCCTGTTGGCCTGCCTGCCTGACCGTGAGTCCAGTGCCAAGAACGAGCTCGACGTGGTGGCCTACGTGCTGCGCCAGGGCATTGCGGCGGGCAGCTGCCCCTTGGAGGCCAGGGCCTGCTTCCTGGCCATCCGGCTGCTCCTAAGCCTCGGCCGGCATGAGGAGGTCCTGCCCTTTGCCGAACGTCTGCAGCTGCTCTCTGGACACCCTCCTGCCTCGGACGCTGTGGCCACCATCCTGAGTTTTCTGTATGATAAGAAATACCTTCCACACCTTGCAGTGGCCTCTATCCGGCAGCGCGGTCTCCAAAGTGCCCAAGGAATATCCCTTTCAATTTGGCAGGTCCACCTGGTCCTCCAGAATGCCACCAAGCTCCTTGGTGTTCCCTCTTCAGGCCAGAGCGAAGTTTCCGCTCTGGCCTGCCCCGCACTCAGGCAGGCACTGGCTGCCTGTGAGGAGCAGGCAGATCGGCGCACCCAGAGGGCCCTGTGTCTCATCCTGTCCAAAGTGTACCTCCAACACAGGTCTCCTGATGGTGCCATCTACTACCTGAGCCAAGCCTTGATGCTAGGGCAGCTGCTGAGTGAGCAAGAAGCCTTTGAGTCTTCCCTCTGCCTGGCCTGGGCCTATCTCTTAGCCAGCCAGGAGAAGGCGGCCTTGGACATCCTCGATCCACTCTTATACTCCCTGAGGGAGACAGAGCATGCTACCCAAAAGGGAGTGGTCCATAACCTTCTGGGACTTGCACTTCAAGGTGAAGGCCGGGTGAACAAGGCAGCCAAGAACTATCTCCGGGCCTTGAACAGAGCCCGGGAGATGGGGGATATGCGTAACCAGGCGGTGACTTTGGCCAATCTTGGCTACCTAACCCTCAAGTCCTGGGTTCAGCGGCCTGCCAGGGACTATCTTCTCCAGGCCATCCGACTCTATTGTCAACTCCAGGCCAGTGTGGAGACAGACATGGAATTAGTACAGGTGCTTCTCTGGTTGGCCCAGGTCCTGGTGTACGGACGCCAGCTGGCCGGTGGCCGCCTTTGTTATGAAATGGCATTGCTGTTTGGCTTAAGGCATCGACACCTAAAAAGTGAGTATGTCCCCCGCTGCTGGGCAGCTTTAGAGAAAAGTGTTAGAGCACGCGTTGCCCTTGTCCTCTCGCAGGCCATCTCATTCGTGTCCCTGCTTTATGTTCAGGTCAGCTTCAGGTCACCAAATCCCTCTGCCATTTCTACAGCTCTGTGTCCCCAAACCCTGAGGCATGCATCACCTACCATGAGCACTGGCTGACGCTGGCTCAGCAACTCAGGGACCGAGAGATGGAGGGGCGGCTACTGGAGTCCCTCGGGCAGCTCTATCGGAACCTAAACACGGCCAGGTGAGTCTGGGCTGCGGACCGTCCTAGAATCATCTGGTCTTCCTTAAGGAGAAACGATATTCTTTCCCTCAAGAAGGCAAGTCCAAATGCCTGTGGTATGTTTACGACATCAAAAAAGGAAAAAGCATGGGCTTGTGGCCACCACGCAGTGCAAACCCAGAGTCATCCATCGCTTATTAGCTGTGTGGCTTTGGACAGGTTATTTGATTTCTCTATGCCTTAGCTTCCTCATCAGTCAAAGGAGGATAATGCCGGCATCTATCCTACAGTATTACTGTGAAGAAAAAATGAGTTAATGGACATGGAACACTTGGAACAGTGCCTATCACATGGAAAGGGCTCAGTAGTGTTGGCTGGGTTTCAAGCACTTGTGTGTTTCCATAACAACCCATCACATGACCATGATTGAGGATGCAGAATTCAGAGCGGTGGCAGTTATACCAAGGACCGAGGAACCCTCAGATCTTTGTTACCTGAGGATAACTGGTGTTAGAGGAAGGACACTTAAAGTGAATAAATTCATTGAAAGCACCGGTGAAAAATTTCACAGTAAAAAAAGATCATTTGAGACCTTACCTTTAAAACGAACTGGAAATGATAAGAATAAGTTTATTTTCACTTTTTAGTTAAGAGTGCTTTAGTTTATAATTACAACTATGTGCTAAGTCTTGAAATAAACAACAAAAGACTTGTTGACTTTTTAGCTTGATTGTGTTGACAAAATTATATAATAGAACAATGAGACATCCTTTGTTTTGTGAATGACTTTTTAGCACTCTCTTAAAAGGCTCATTTTTGCAAAAATATACCAAAACCTAACTGTTTCACCTAAAGGCTTCTTTTAACCATTCGCCATTTAAGGTAGTCTCAGAGTATCTTGCCATCCACTGATTTTCTCTTTTCTATCTCTTCACTGGTCTAATCTGCTTGATCCTCATGTGTCAGTGGCGTGGCCTGCAGTTCTGCTCTCTAACAAGCCTTTAATTCATTCTTTTTAAATTCTGCATGGTTTGCAAGATATTCAGTTTCATTTACCAACAGATTAGCATTGCAGCATTGAATTCATAACTATGAATGACTTCTAAAATAAAGCAGGGATAATTGCTAGTGTTGAGTGGAGAGAGGTGGTTGACAAGAAGTGAATTAAATGACAACCTTGCTTTTCTAGGCAACCTGGTAGTCTGGTAACTTTAGGCACCTGGACAGTCAGATCATGAATAATCAGATAACGAATTCCCTCTCTCTTTCTTTCTCTCTCTCTCTCCACCCCCTCTCCATCTTCCACTCTCTCACACTTTCCTTCAAGAATCAGGTGTCTTGCAAATCTCCCATTATCTTTGCCTCAGTCCCTGGAAAGGAGATTTTGATCCTTGCAGCATGTGAGGAGACAGGAGGCCTGGCCCTTGCCCCATCCTTGCTTCCATCCCAGGATCCCCTAGGAGCCTGGATGGTTCTAGAGCAGATACAGAAGTCAGGCTTGAATTAACCTTAGAGATAAAACAGTTATGTTCATGATGAGGCATCGTAGGAATGGGCTTTGAGAAAGTTAGATTTTAAGGGACCGAAACAAGGTGGACAAGTATGTGTCAGGTTTATTTGCACCTCTCCCTATGAACGAGCTCAGTTTCAGGTCAGTCACTGCTCCCAGGCATCACCTACCCGCTGCCATTCTTTGCTCATCAGTGTTCCTCCCACCTCCAGTTGTCAAAAAAACACCAAAAGCCTAAGGAGGAGGAGGCCAGAGGGAAATCCCTGGACACTGTCAGTACAGACCATGGAGGTCTTATTTAAGCCAGCGTGAAAGATCACTGTCCTTAGGTGACGGGGGTGATGGAGAGGAAGTACAAAGTGGGCTGCAGTTGGTCCAAGAAGTGACCGGAGGAAGTCAGAAACCACAGAGCTGGTAGAGGAGCAACCAAAACTGGATTAGGAGTCAGGAAGTCTGATCCTGCCATGAGCTAGCAACGGGTCCTTAAACAAGTCATTTCTCCTCTTGGTTGCCCCATTTATAAAGTTAATTGAATGAATTGCCTTCGATTCTCAGATGTTAAGTCTAGGACCAGCCAGCTGTGCTATTCTGACACTGGCAGTAGCCCTCTTGGTACCAGCTGTTCATTTGTCA